ATGGATCAAACGACAACTTTGTAGACAACTGGATAATTTCGTAAAATTGGACAACTTTGTAAACAACTGGATTATTTTGTTGACTTTTCAGTTGTCTGGACTACTTTGTAGACAAGTGGAAAACATTGTAGATCACAAGACAACTTTGTATACAACTGGGTAACTTCGTAGACAACTGGACGACTTTTTACACAAGTGGGCGACTTTGTAGATAATTGGACAATTGTGGAAACGATTGGACGACTTTGTAGATCAAAGTACAACTTTATAGATCACAAGACAACTTTGTTGGGATAACTTTGTAGATAACAGGACGACTTTGTAAACAACTAGATAATTTTGTAGACAACTGAATAACTTAATGGAAGACAGGACAACTTTGTAGGCAACTGGAATTGGATAATTTTGTATACAACTGGACGACTTTGTATACAACTAGACGACTTTGTAGGCAACTAAACGACTTTGCAGAAGAGTGGGCCACTTTGTAGACGTTGGATAGCTTTGTAGAAAATCTGATATATTTAAAGACAATCTGACAACTTTGAAGAGAATCTGACAACTTTCTATACATTGTTTCTAGAACCTTACAAGCTTGTAAAAAACAGATTAAATTGTACTAAATCTGACAATCTTGTAACAAACCTTACGACCTTGTAAGAAATCTAATAAGCCAGTAGAAAATCTGACAAGTTTGCACAAAATCTGACCTGGTAAACCTGTAGAAAACTTAACAAGCTTGTAAAAAACCTAACGACGACCTTCGATAAAATATGACGATTTTGTTGAAGATTTACCTGACGACTACGTCTTGTAAAAGCTGGATAACTACATAACTACACTTAATAAGAAATCTGAAAATAGCAAATTTAACCGAATCCACTTTGTGGACAATTATTGCTACTTAATAATAATTTACTACTAGTAAATATATATCTATATATTATATATATGTGTATATATATGTTATATATTATATATTTATTTATATATTTATATTATTATATATTTATATATATATATATATATATACATATATATACATTCTTTATAAATATAAATGTGCATGTTGGGTTAATATTTTGTAAATAAATCTGCCATGTGCTTGTTGCTTGCAAATATCATCTTTAACATTTAACATCTAACATCCTGGCATGTTGTTTAGTGCATTTGAGTGATTTATCAGAATTTTGCATGATGGGGTCTGTTATCATCCAAACTTTATCATTGGAGATTAAGGTAACATGTGTATGAAGAATCGATTACATAAACAAAAGAATAATTTGTCATATTGTTAAAAATTGAAGTCTGTGTAAACATAAATAATCAACGTGTATGTTATTTTTGTTAACAACGACGAGGCTAACTTCAAGTCGAACTCGTTGACAGGTTTTAGGGTTTAAAATTTTGCTACACCGTTATAAGCAACTTCATTTATATCCTAAACCAATATAAATCGACTGGTATTGATTAAGTAAATAATTTGTTATTAAAATCAACTAAAATTTTTATTTGAATACAATTAATGTAATTATTTATAATTTCTATTTCATATATTATATGTATTTGTATGTACAATATTATAAATCCATTAAAAGTACATTTTAAAATACATAATTCAATGTAATGAATGAAACAATAATTTTTGGGTTTGGAACTATGCTAAAGCGACCGCAGCGCCTTATACAACTAAACCAGGATTGTGTAATATTATTCAAGTGTTTATGTAATATTATTCAAGTGTTTATGTAATCGATTCTTTAACTAATAGTATTAGTATTAATTATTTATAATTGTGAATAAATGATCAAATATGGTATCGAAACATATGTTAAATATAAAACGGCCTGAACCGAAAAAACACATACCTATCAAAAGCATTTTAACAAATTTGTTTGTATTGTAACAAATATACAAATTATATTCTAACATTACACGACATTATATATATATATATATATATATATATATATATATATTAGGTTAGTCCTTAATATGGATTTTTTTCAATTTTTTGCCCCCAGGGGCTCAAATGCTTCCAAATTGATAAAAAAATATTATCTGGAAGTTTCAAGTCAAAATTTTGAGAATGATATTATTTTTGCTTATTTTGATCATCAATAAAAAATTTACAACAAAAATTTGATATATTTTATAAAATAAGTATTTACTTAGGAAGAAGAACCAAGAAACTTTGGTGGTTGGAGTCCGGACTATCTTAAAATTAATATTAAGACTTGAAACGTTCTTTTAACCAATTTTTTTAATCACAGATTTTTTTTATTATCATTATCATCGTTATCAAAGTGGAATCTTTTGAGACCAAGGATATTCAAAAATATCCATATTAAGGACCACCCTAATTATATATTTACAATATGTTAATTTCATATATTGTCGATCATAATTTGACCTTTCGTCGAAGCTTTCTCAAAAACGGCTCAACCGATTTTAAAAATTTAAAAACCATTCGATATAGCTTGATTAGGACTTGATTTCATTAACTTTGCAAGACGATCGGCCACAGCGTTTCTTTTTAATTAATTTTTGAAATTTATTTTTAAAATAAGTATTGTAAAATATTATTATAGGCCTATGAAAAGTAGTATAATAATAAAAATTAATTACAGAGATTTATAAATATATTACAAAAACTTGGATTGGAAATCATTTTGATTATTTTTTAATAAAAACAAAAACTTCATTTACTAAATAAACAGTTGCACTAGTTTTTTCTGAATAGCTGAATTTCGATTGTTGTTGATTAATTTAATTATGTACGTATCAGGAAGTTTGTGCAGCTTGACTTAAGGCAAAATGCCACTTAAAATTGGTATAAATAAACATTATTTCAGGCTTTATCATTATTTTTTATTTTAGCCATTTTATTTAATCCAAAATCTACACTTTTTCAAATATCTATTTATCATCTGTAATGCCCATATGAATATAAAAGTTAATTTTTTTGTGAAGTTAAAAAATTGTAAGAATCGTGTAAAGCTTTTGTGTTTGTTCTTAAATTTATTGCGTTTGGATAAAAAATGATTCTCAAAAAAAATCTTTTATTTGAGGTTATAAATGTAAGTTGTCGAATACATTAGACATAAAATGGTATGGTATGTATTGATATATTTTTTATATTTGTTATATCTTCTAGAAATCTTGTGATTTTTTTTTCTATCTTTAAATAATTTAAAATGTAAAATATGTTTTAGAATTTGTTAACGTGCTGAATGATGACACACATACTGCGTCGAAACGTACAAAATAAATGCTGAATTTCTCATATTTATCAAAATATCTAGAATTTTTGTACTTTTATACATTTTTGTAAAATATTTTTAGGACTTGTTTAACGTGCTGAATGATGACACACATACAGAGTCCAAACGTACATAATAAATGCTAAATTTTTTATATTTCTCGAATATTGCAGAAATCTTGTACTTTCATACAACTTTTAAAATAACAAAATTTTAGAAAACGCAAAAAAACGAAAATGAAAATTTTATATATATTTTTACGTTTCAGAGGTTTCTGAACATTTTGGCATACCTTAGAAAAAATGGATGTGTATGTGTGTGCGGATACAAATTTTAGTCGACGATTTCGAGAACACCGATCAACCGATTTGAATAATTTAAAAAACATTCGATTCGTATTGATAAGGAGACGTACGATTGATAAGGAGAGCACGTGCTGATTAGTTTTTGGCATAGGCAGGTCTAGCCGTTTCGAAGATACGGCTTTCTTTATAATTAAAAAAAATCAAATTCAAATTTTCGAAATTTTTCATCATTTTAAAAAAAAAACTAAATTCTGAAAAATTAATATCTTATAAAATATAAAATATCTTATATCTTATATAATAAAAAATATCATGTAAAAATATTTCAAAATTTTCAAAAAATCGAATATTTTCAAAATTTTCAAATTCTCAAAAAATTAAAAAAAAAAGTTTTTTTCAAAAAAAAATTCCAAAAATTTCAAACTTCTAAAAAAAATTAAAAAATTTGAAATGATCAAAACAATTATTGATTATTTTCATATCTCGAACGTTTAATTACGGTACGGGAAGTTTCAGCAATTTGCCTTAAGGGGCACAACTAGTGTGAAATTTTTAAAAAATCTAATTTTTAATTTTTCCATATTTCGATAGGTTATACCTTTAAAAATAACATACCAAAATTTTAAATCGATATCTTAAATAGTTTTTGAATTACAGCCATTTAATGAGTATATATAGTATATAGTATAACGATCATTTTATCTTTAAACGCGTTTTTCTCGAAATAGCATTTTCCGAATTTGCTGCAGTGATTACTCAAAAACAAATGATTCGATCACTATCATTTTTTTTACATGTTCTATATATAGTTCACCGTAAAATGAACTATCGATTTTTTGATCGGATCAAAAATCGAATTTTGGCAGTCAAAAAACGACCAAAATTTTGGGTAAAATTCGACTTTTTTTTTTAAAACGCCCGCATTTTGTCAATTTTTGATTTATTTTTTTTTTATCGTAGTTCATTTTGCAGGCAATATTATCTAGTTTAACGAGATTTTTTTTTTTGATTTCATCCACGTAGAAGGCCGAAATCACTGCAGCGGTTAAGGGCCCTTTTTTGTGGCGCCGTTGGAGATCGACGATAACTTAAAAAATATTTAATTTTTTTCTTCAAAAATTTTACTATGTATTCTTAAAACATGTATAAATATATTCCCAAAATTTAGGAATGATGGATAAAGTAGTTTTTTTAATATAAATTCCCAAAAATCACCTTTTTTTAGGCGGTTACACTAGTTTAGGCGGCACGATGCCATACACACATACAGTGTCGAAACGTACACAACAAACAAACTCAATCCTTTTCTCACATCGACTTTTGTCCAATTACCATTTTCACTCACACAACATTATTCACATACACTAATACACCTATAAAAAATAATTTCATCATCACATCACAAATCTAAATGTAAATTTTTTCGGTTCAGTGTCGCGTCGGTGCATACCGAACCCTGTGAATCGTACCGAACTGCACATCGAAGGATTCTCGCCGGATTCACTGAGGAAGGCATTGCGAAACGTCAAGCGAATGGCAAGGGCGAACGAGGTAAGATAGATAAAGGAATTTGGGGAAGGTACTGGTGGTGGATAGATTGAGATTGAAGGGATGATTTCTTTGGGTAAAATAGAAATGTTATTGTAACGCTCTAACTTCGTATGAATTGGTAGTAAAAACTGTCAAAAATGCTTTGTATTTGCTGTGCGTTCAGGAGTTTCATACATCATACCTAACCTCAGGGGCGTTGCGTGCCTGGGCGGGGCCCCGTATCAAAATTTGTTTGGTGGCCCCTTCAAGAAGAATTTTTTTTTACAAAATGTAAAACACATAAAATTAAAAAATATTTATTTATGAATTACTAGCTGACACGGCAAACGTTGTTTTGCTAATTAAGGTATATTTTAAACAATTTCTAGAGAATCAAAGATATTAATACTTTAAGTGTATAAGGATGTGTTGTTTCTATGCTATGTACAATGAGGTAGTATAAAAACAATAAACTCCATTAGTTCGTCTATATTCTGTCAATACAATCAAACTGGAAGTTTTATACACTTTCTATAGAAAACATAGTATAATCCATCCAAGTCTTTTTTGGTCTTTCGACTTATTGATTACGTTTCAAGATTTTTTCAGATTCTTTTTGGATTCTGGATTTTGTGTATAATTGTAAATAATACTACTGAGCTTACAAAAAAATTTCAAATTTCTGCGAACAGAGATAGAAAATGATTTAAGTATTTCTTCTTTGACCTGCTTTTTGAAAAGTTTCTAGTAACATTCGATGAATTAAAGTAAATTTAATAAAAACTATATATGTAGAGCAGGGCGAGGCACAAAGGTCCAATTTGACTTTGAGCAAATATAAAGTGTATTGTGAAAACCATAACAATTATATCACAACAAATAACAAATTTCAAACGAAAAATTATCTGTGGTATACTGTGGAAATGTGCTTCTTTTATGTTCCAAAAATTTGTTATCTAGATCTTTTTATCATATAGGCGGGGTAACTTGAAACGGACAGTTTAAGTCTTATTTTAATTTCAAAGGATTTTACAAAATGATTACATTTTTAACTAATGCTAAAAACCTACCAACGGAAGAAAATACTTTTATTATGGGTAGGTGGTAAGAGCTTTGCTTACTTTTGCTGACGAGGGGGATGGGGGGGGGGTAAATAATTGTAATAAATCTGCTTACGTAATACTTGAACGATTCCTGATCGCACGGCAACTATATTCACATTTTTTGTACCAAGAAAGAAGTACAAATTAGCGTTGCCATAACAACGTCTATGTTACCGAATTGGTCCCTAATTAGAACTATCAAAAATTTTATCCAAATACTAGCATTGTTCAAATCATTTCTTCTAATATCTTGAAAAAAAATTTTTTTTGACTAGAAAAATTATTTTGTTGAATATAGGTGTCTTATTCCTTATAGGAGTGTTATTCTTTACCTTATCAAAAAAAATCTATAAAAATCTACTCGTATTTTTTATTAAAAATAATTATTTAGTCAACAATGAGCAAGGTGGATTTCTTAACTAAAGTCTATAACTTTTTCAAACCTTTTGTGACAATTTTTACTCTTATTTAATTATCTTGTAGTTTATCTATCCTCCAGAATCTTGTAAACTTCTAATTTTCAATTTAACTGGAAGTCATCTGCACTTTTTTTAAATTTGGCCTTTCAATTTTTTCTTACGATAATAATGAATATGAACCGAGGAATTTGAAAAAAAAAACTTATTTATTTTTATGTATTTTAAAACTTTATTATTATTTATATTAATATGTAAAATAAAAACGAAAAACAATATTTTGAATTACTTATAATCGATTAAAAATGTATGATTGGCTACTACAATTGTGACGTCACAATGTTTAAACAATTTCATGGCAAGCGCAATAATATAATATAATATATATATATATATATATATATATACATATATGTATATATATATATATATATATATATATATATATATATATATATATATATATCGTTCAAATTTTTGGTTTGTATCATGTTTTGCATTTTATCACCAATTGTATTATAATTTATTAGATTAGATCATTTCATTTGTAATTAATAATCATAATCAACCATATTAATTATATACACAATTTTTCGAAGTCATAATCGATTTTAATTTATCATCATTTAATATCATCGATTAGATTTATATCATTTAGATTTATGTATAGGGATGAGACTGAAGCCGGTCTCCACAAAAAGTCTTTTCTTTCTTTCTTATGTAATATATTTTTTCATTTTTTTAACAGATCATTGCATTGTTTACAACTTTGGAGGTCGGGAGTATTTAGAATATAATGTAATAGCATGGTTTAGTTATAGTTTTTGTGGATTTCAAATTATGACGTGAAATATCTTACCAATACACAAAATTATTAATATAGTTGATAAATATTGTCACAATATCCATATGAATATTGGATTTTGCCAATGACTAGAAAATTAGTATTGTCAATAGTAAGTACAGTATTAATATCGATGTAACATAATGGCGTCAATATTAAGTCAATCAATATTGATAACTAGAAGATATATATAAACCAATTTTTTTCTAGGTTATTTCAATTTTGTACCAAAAACCAGTTAGTTAATATTAGCTCCATATTGATTATTAGAAATTTAGTATTTAGAATGTACAATTTAGTATTGCCAATCCACAGACTGATGACTGATTTAGGAGACAATCTGATGTTAGGTAATACTTTACGTACACTTTTTAGCAAACGACACCAAAAGGGATAAGGTCGAAGGCATTCTGCTGTTTCTCTCACTCAGAAAGACTTCACACTCTACATAATGCATTTCTCGTGATTTTTTTGTATATACCCCTATTTCTGCCTGTCTCGTACATTTTTCAGCCACTGGCATTGAAAGGGATGATATCGAATCTAGTCTCCTGTTTCATCTAGTAGGGATGAAAGCGAAGCCAGTCTCTTGTTTTTCTCACACAAAAAACTTCGTACGTCTACATACTGCATTTTTCGTGATTTGTCTGTATCTACCAATATTTCTGCCTGTCTAATGCATTTTTCATCAACTAGCATTGAAAAGGGATGAGGGAAAACCACGTAAAAAAATCGAGCTAAGCACACTACCTCGTAGGTGGCGTTCAAACGTACTTTTCAAAGTGATATATCTTTAAAAGGGTGGCTTTGAGCAAAAAAAGTATCTTAACATTTTTTGTAGCTAATTGTATGCTCTACAATATTGTCTTAAGTGATTTTGCGATAAAACTGACCATTTAGCGTGCCATATTTTTAGCTCGCATCGGAACGATGAGGACTTTTGAGATTTTTTTTATAATTGTATTTTAAACCATTTTGCCGAATTACAGCTCATTATAAATTATTGTAATCTTGAATGCGTAAATTGGCCGGGCTATTCGTCAAAGTTTGAAAAAATTAGTTGCTTTTTTGGGCGTTTGTCAACATTAAACCTCTCATAGATGTTTTATCAAAAACGCCTGAACCGATTTCAAGAATTCACAAACCATTGGATGTAAATCTATGATGACTATCGTTTCTCACTTTTGTGCAAAGATTGACCGAGCCGTTTCTTTGTAATTTGCAAAAGAGTGTAATTTTTTTTGTCCACGTTCTAACCCACAATCCTAAATCGATTTTAACAAATCTCAATGTTTAGATTTAAGGGGCACAATTATAGTGTAACCGCCTAAAAAGGTGATTTTTGGGAATTTATATTAAAAAAACTACTTTATCAACCATTTCAAAATTTTAGGAATATATTTATACATGTTTTAAGAATACACAGTAAATTTTTTGAAGAAACAATTTTAATATTTTTTAAGTTATCGTCGATCTCCAACGGTGCGACAAAAAAGGCCCTTTACTGCTGCAGTGATTCCGTCCTACTTCGTGGATGAAATTTAAAAAAAATCTCGTTAAACTAGATAATATTGTCTGCAAAATGAACTACTATAAAAAAACAAATCAAAAATTGAGAAAATGACGGCGTTTTTTTAAAAAAGGCAAATTTTACCCAAAATTTTGGTCGTTTTTAAACTGCCAAAATTCGATTTTTGATCCGATCAAAAAATCAATAGTTCATTTTGCGGAGAACTATATATAGAACATGTAAAAAAAATTGATAGTGATCGGATCATTTGTTTTTGAGTAATCGCTGCAGCAAATTCGGAAAATGCTGTTTCGGGAAAAACGCGTTTAAAGATAAAATGATCGTTATACTATATACCACATATATACTCTTTAAATGGCTGTGACTCAAAAACTATTTAAGATATCGATTTAAAATTTGGTATGTTATTTTTAAAGGTATAACCTATCGAAATATGGAAAAATTGAAAAATCGATTTTTTGAAAATTTCACACTAGTTGTGCCTCGTAATTTAAAGCGAAAACTTGAATTGCGAAATAAACAGTTAAAAATGTTATCTAAACATATAAATCCTAATTTCGGTTGATCCTAATTATTAAATCTATCGGAAGTTTTTGCAATTAGCCTTAAGGAAAAAAATTCAAGGGATTACACAATCATATTTCTGTAGCAAATGGCACGGAAGAGGGATGCGATCAAAGTTTTCCTCTTTTAACTTATCCTTGCCTAAGTCTTCCTATGCACAAAAATATCTAGTTTTTTTAAATATAAGTCGAATTATAGCAACTTTGATTTTTAGCCGAAAAATTTTCTACTGGTCCCCCCTTTGCGAGAATTGTCGATTTTGTAAGATTGCTATAAAATAAAAACTAGCATTCAGAGGGGTCTAATAATTCAGTGGCGATTTATTAAAGTCATAATATAAGTACTTTTTGAATATAAGTCGAATTAGAGCAACTTCGATTTTTAGCCGAAAAATTTTTTTAATAGTAGTGGCTATAAAAACCAGAAGTCCTTTATAGTTTAATTTAGATAGGTATA